TGTAATCAGTTTTAAGATAACTTGCTATGAAAGTTTTTAAAAACACTAACTTGTTAAATATCATACTTAAGTCATTCCTAAGAATCTTAAATTTTTACATAATATAGAAACAACATATTGATGCAGCATTTACAGCACTTAGTGAAAGTATTAGACAAGTTTAAGAAAAGTAAATGAATCTGTGATCTGCAGGTTTCGAGGCTATCCTGTTGGCCGCTGTTTAGAGACTGTCTGGCATATACAATTAGTGTAGCGGCGGTCCTTGCGATGATATCTGACAACAGAGTTTACTGGTAAGAGCACAAGTAGTGTTGAATTCATGTTGACTGGAGATTAGCGAGACAGTGTTTTGAAAAACAAACAAACAAAAAACCTCTGAACTTCAAGTAGCCTGAACTGCCATTCACTAACAGAAATAAATATCCTGTTGGCTTTAAAAATGTAGAAAGTCACAATCCTCGTAAAGATTATTACCTAAACATTCAAACCCTGCACATTTATAAAGTTTGATCTGCATAGGTTTGTCTGTATGGACTTGACAATTTCTACACAACCGTTTTGGCATAGCAATTAGTCTTTGTAGTGTATTTATTTTGAGCCTTTTCTTTGATAGCATCACTGTTAAGAAAAATATTTGTCTGCCAGAAGCAGATCATGAGCTTCTGATGTTTTAACTCTCTTCAGTGAAAACTGAAACTCCTGCTGCCTCAGTAAGTCAGTCAGGCCCAGCATTAAGTATCTGAAGTTTCTAACTCAAAATAGCACATGCTATCTCTCTCTTTAACCATCATATGAAGACTCAATTTCCCAAACATCAGTAAGATGTTCAATCAGTAAGATTCCCTGGAAAACATGCAGCTATACAATACACAGACAACATTCTGCAGGAAAGGGGAATTAATCAGACTGCTGAAAGACATGGAGACACTCATGAACTTCCATGACACTGGCCATACAACGATAGATGCTTTTGTGTTTTCCTCTTGCTACTCATGCAAATTTTCTCTCTCACTCACTCCATTTTAACACCATGCCATTTAAACGAGTCAGAGAGTTGGGGTTTTTTTATATTACATGTTATGTAAAATGTATTTTTCATTCTAGGTATGAAAGTGCATCCTTATTATTGATATATGGGTGTTATATTCTGGTACTATGTTTTGACATTAAAATCAACCAATACCTCATGAAAAAGTTCAGTCCCTGCTGTACATGTTTTACAAGAGCTATGGAAGAGAATGCTGAGCATCAGCCACTGGCTGGATGGCAGGAAGAGAGTGGACCTCTAATTCGTAAACAGTCAAGAACAGATAGCGGAATTTTTCAAGACAAGGTGGACTACTCTCAACTTTCAACAAGCTTACATGGCCTTGATGAAATCTCTGAAGGTATAAGTATTATTACAGTTGTCTCTAGCACTCTGCATGCCTGTCTGCATCAGTTGTATCTAATAGAGTAGATTCTGAGATATTATTAAGATGTTGTTCACAGAACAACTCCAATAAATCATTATTCTTCCTTGGAATATAAGCAAAATCAGAGTTAGTTTCTAAAGGAATGCTAGGAGAGCTGCTCCTTTGTGTCATATTACAACAGCAGACTTCTATCAGTCTTTGCTGTGCACATTTGAAACTTCCCAGCAACACTGCTTGTAAAATGCAGTACCAGCTGAAAGACCCACTGGTACTGTACTAATATATACCATCTTCTTATGACAATGGCAGGTTCATAGCCCAAAATATGTGTTATATCAGAAGTAAAGGAATAGCTATGATGCGGCCACAGATCATCAGTTTCCTTTTCACTTAGGCAAAAAACAGCAGTCAGTACTTACTCTTAGCAAACATTCTGTGTAAACCTTTATAGAAAAGTTCATTTTTCATCCACGTTAATTCTCTCCTAGTGACATGGTAATAAAGAACATTTGATTTCAGAGTTTTGTCCAGTGTGATGTAGGTACTGTGTAAGACTAGAGCTAGAAATTGAGAAAGTATGTTTTACCTTTTTTCAGTATTCTCACAAGTAGAGGCCAGCAGTATGACTGTGTGCTATGGATTCAAACTAAATGATACAGTTTAAAAGTTACTTTTTCTTCAACAGATCATCCAAATGTCTTCACCATGCCTGAAGCAGATATGAAGAGAATTTTGTGGGTGTTATCCCTTCCTATTATTACACTACTCTATTTAACTATACCAGATTGCAGAAGACAGTTTTGGAGGAACTGGTTCATGGTGACATTTTTCATGTCAGCAGCATGGATTTCTGCAATAACTTACGTTCTTGTGTGGATGATAACAATAGCAGGTAGGTACCTGAAGTGCTGCTGCTGTACAGAATCAACCCATCGAGAATCACTGAAAAAACAGTTTTCTCCCTGTGAAGAGCTTTCCTGTCCACAATTAACAGTTGGTTTAGCAACACATACTCTGCTGTGAAAAAAAGCCAACAAACAAAACCAACAAAAACTTATGTTTGACAGTGTAGTTTGCCACCTTCTTCCATCTAACGAAAACCACTTTAGAGTTTAGCTGGTTCAGACTGCTTACGATCACATGAATGAGAATTCATTTATATAGCTACAAAAAACAGCCTATATTTAAAAAGAGACAGTTTCATTAAACTGGTTCATGAAGTGAAACAATTAGAAACACAGCAATAAACTTGTCAAGCTGAAGTCTGACAAACATGGAATCCATCAAGACTGGAACTAAAGGTTCAGGGTTCTGTAAAAGATCTGTTATTTCTATAACTTTTTTTTTTTTTTTAACACTATAGTAAAAGATCTGGCATTAAATTAACTGCCAAAAAATCCTCCCAAATCTTTGTACTATTTCATTTCAACTATAGCCTCATGTGTTTGTTAAACATTCTTGGTGTGTGTGTATGTATACCTTTTACAAATCTGCATCATAAAGTGAAGCAGTAAAAGAATTGCATTTAAGTGAGAGAAGGGGTATGAACTTGTATGTAAAAACAGTCTCTTAAAAATATCTTAAGGTATTAAATGTCTCCTCATTTCACTGTTTCTCCAGTCAGATTGAGAAAAATCCAGTTTTTAATTTGAAGAACAAGCAGAAAACAAATCTATAAACAAGAAAGGTTACAAAGCTTGCCATTTCCACATTATAGTTCACTAATCCTATTCAAGTATTCTGCTAGTTCAGCATCTTAAACTTGTTTTCAACTTAAGTTCAATGAATAACTCCTTGTTCAGTGCAGAAACAGACCTACACATTTGGTAAACCTTTGAGAAAATACTAGTAGATCTCTGGATACAACACCAACCAGATTCACTCCTTAGTCAAGTAATTTTCCACTTGTATCTAAAGAGCAAGGGTTTACTGTCTGAATGCTAGAAGCCTTTGAAACAAGACTCAAATGAAAGTTATTGCTGTTCAACTAGACAAAGCACTAATTCATATGAAAGCAGGTACAGTGGAGATTCAAATAGGGTATTAGTGTTAGTCCACTTTGAAGAGTCATCACAAGCAGTATTGGGGTCTTCAGCCCACTACTTCTAGGTCAGATATGTTCTATTTACACGTTAAAACGCTAAAAATTACACACACATTATAATCAAGTCCAGGTTCTTTCATGAAGGGTGACCTAAAAATTCTATCATTGCATAAACAGCCTATCAGAATGTCACAAAGGTATCACAGCTGGGGACTAAATTTTGATAGAACAAACCTAACTTTGTACACCTTTTTGATGCTAGCAAATAAAATTTGACTACTTATAGCAAGATATTGCTACTGATACACGAAGTTAACTAAAGACTAGAAAAATAAAACCATTATCTCTTTATGGTCAGTTGCCAGAAAAAAACCCTACACATTAAATAGAAGATAAATTTATCTAATAGAAAGAGAAATTAGATTCACCTGAGTTTAGATACTATCTTATAACCTTCAGAGGGCTAGAAACTACTGTTAGGTACATAAGGCTGGTTCAGTCATATTTCACCTTTGCTTGCTTGGCATGAACCGTTATTTTCCAGCCTGGATGGTTTATAAAAGCTGATCTTGCTGGTCCCTCATCCTACAAATCTTTTATATTAGGAGTGATGGACAAATAAAATACCAGTACAAATTCGGCAACGGGATCATGTTAGTCCCTCTGAACCAACAAATGATTTCAAATATAAATTTAGTGGGCTGACCTAGACTAAGCTCGTATGTACTAGGCAAGCATTGCTGACCTAGGTTCTTATTTTAAGAAAACTGTTGTTATTAGTGTCCAAATATTGCAAGTAAGAATTTAGATTTTAAAAAAAATTAAGATACTTACTAGCAAACAAAAAAGTTTAAGAAATGCTAATTATTTAATAGTTTGAATAGAGGTATCAAATACTTCAGCATATTGATGCTTGCGAATGGTACAACTGCTGAAACAGTTTTGAACATCTGTTTCCCTGTAAGTGAGAAATTGGTATGCTTACAGGACATGTGGGGCTAAAAAAAAAAGTGAGGAAAAATAAGCTGCTGTTTTAATAACAATTTAAAACTTTTCTTAATTTAAACCTGTATTTACCTAAAGAAACTCAGTCATATAAAAATTCTGCATTTTGATTCTTCTGATTCCAACAAAAAAAACTTTCTAATTGAGTGAAATAGAAAAGCCACGTAACTGAGACAATATGGCAGTAATGATCTTAATGACCCTCCTCCCCAAGAAAACTCATGTGCTTTTTTCCTCCCCCTTTGAAGAGTGGATGATGGTAAGAGTTATTGCTTCATGAGACTTTTGAGCGCTAATGATGAGATACCCAAAAATATAGAAGACGTATTTCCCAGAAATTGAGGCGGGGGGTGGGGGAAGTAAATTGTTAGATATTTAAATTTCTACTGTATCTGGAAGAAAAAATTCGTAATTGGTATTGTCTTGACCACTAGAGACATTCCACTCGGGTCTTAGAGAAACTTGTTAGGATGGTTACTATACTACAGTTCCTTTTTTATTTGATTGAAGAACAAGGACAGGATGGTATTTCTTTGTTGTTCTTGTTTTTAACTACTTCACGGTTCAGTCACTTCAAATTTAGTCAAGTTAGCTGATAGATTCCTTTTGAAATTATGGTATGATTACTAATCCTTTCCCCAGCAAACAAAGTACAAAGGAATTTCTTTCAATGGAACTTAAACTAAAAACATACTTGCATTTTCTACCATTATTTATCAACTGCAGGTGAAACACTGGGAATTCCGGAGTCGGTAATGGGTCTCACATTACTAGCAGCAGGAACAAGCGTACCAGATACAGTTGCAAGTGTGCTGGTGGCTCAAAAAGGTAAAGATTTTAGTATTCAGCCTCATTCCAATGGATGTGTTTAAAAGGTACTAAGAAAAAAAGAATTCTAGTCAACATTTCCAGAAATTCAAGGAGTAACTTCAGAATTTTTGCTCCAGATTCTAGAGCTTAAGTTTACTAATAATAAATAAATAGCTTACCTGAAGAAGCTGTGGCTCAGACATTTAAAAACCTCTCAGAGGAGTATTCTAGATTGGTTTGATTTGCTGTTGATCGAGTGTTACAGTTTTACCGCAAAACACTCCTGTAGGTCTTGGTATTTTAAACATGACTGGATTTTATAATAGCCTGTCTAGCTTATTTTAAGTGCAAGTGTGCAGATGCTGGTGATTTAGGGAGACTTTTTTTTTTAATGCTTGTGGTACCCAAAACCATGTTCTGTAGAATCATGACTACAGTTCTTTCAATGAAAAGTCTGAAAAGGGTGCTCTGTGAGAAATTGCAGGCTAACAGTCTGTTCCTCCAAAACAGTTTGGCAATTTCATACAATACAATTAAGCATACTTATTTGTATTTCTTCTTTTACAGGAAATGGAGATATGGCTATGTCTAACATTGTAGGATCCAACGTATTTGATATGCTCTGTTTGGGAATACCCTGGTTTATAAAAACTGCCTTCATAAATACATCAGGACCCATAGAAGTGAACAGCAGTGGTTTGACATACACAGCCATTTCTCTTATCTGTTCTGTTGTTTTTATTTTGCTGGCAGTTCACTTGAATGGCTGGAAAATAGATAAAAAATTGGGAGCAATTTGTCTTGTACTGTACTTAGTATTTACTACATTATCAATTTTATATGAACTTGGCATCATAGGGAACAATCCTACAAGGGTCTGTGGTAACTAGTTTTAATCAGTGATTAGACTGATAAAAAAAAAAAGCAAGAGAGAAAGATCAGTTTCTTCATTTGGTCAAAATAAAAAAAAAAAAATATATTTCAAAACTCCCATTGGGCTCTAAATCTTATTTACAGAACTAAGTCATGTCATTAAAGTAATATTAAGTAGAACGAAAACATCACAGCCTAATTGGAGCCCTTTCTTTGAAGAGTCAAGAATTACAGTATGACTACGACGCACATATAAAAACAAAATTCTGAAAAAAAAGACATCTAGTTTTTACATTACAATGTTGGTACACACTGGGGAAAAAATAAAAATCAGAAAACACTAAACAAATCCCACTATGCAGTCTTGAGATTAACAGAGAAAATGGCTTATTTTATTAAAAACAGTATAACCATTCATTTAAACTGAATGACTAGAGACACTTGGCCTAATTTTCCAAAGGCACTGAGCATCCCAAGCTTCCATGGTCTACAGGGACCTGCAGGTGCTCAGTGCCTCTAAAAAAAACAACAAAAATCAGGCAAATTGTCTTTAAAAACCAAACATAGTAAGATTCAGTTAACAAGTATCACAGTATATTAAACACTATACTGTTAAAGGCTGGTGGGATTTAAAAGTTCCTTTTTACAGCTTTTGTAAGCATACAATGTTACTAAAAATGACTTACTAGGATAGAGAAGCTAAACAGACATAGGAATGTTCCTGAACACACGGTTTTAAATTATGCATTGCGATCCAAGCGTACATCAATTTCTCTGCCACTGATTTTTATGCCGTTCATTATCCTACAGGCCTTTTCAGCAGATTCTGGTGAGTCAAATCTCACTGTTCCACAGCCCTTTGATTTTCCATTCTCCATTTTTATTTCTGCAAACATTACATGACCTGAATAAATAAGTTAAACAGCAGTTATTTCAAGCCTTCAGTGCACTAACAACTTAAAGAACGCATTAGAAGTGATAAAAAAGCATTTTTAAATGTAATCTAGGCAGACAGATGAAATTAGCACTTTCAGACTGATGGTATATTCACTCATTCAGGGAAAGTGACACAGGTCAAAACAGCAGTGAAGAATCCAAAATAATATCCGCTGTTTCAAATCTTTCCTTCACACTAGCATAAGATGAAGTATGCCTGTATTTAACCTCAAGTTTGAAACAAAGTGCCCTACAAGGCTAAGGAAAAGTTTTGTGTTTCATTTACCAACACTGCCAGAAGTGTGACTACTGACAGGCATTAACTGAATTAAAGTTCAATCCAGTCTACCAAGTTCATCACAGCAATGTATCAAGCAATCACAACACTCAAGCAATTTTGTAAAGCAGCTGCAGAGCAAAATTAGAGACTTTAAAACACTAAAGTTACCACGTTAGGAGTAGTGGAAAAGTAGCATGCACTATTCAATTCCTGCAGAGTTTTCTTGAGTTTGGACACTCAACTCATGAGGCAACATTTTTATGCAGATGCTTTTATTCAAGGCCTGGAGCTAGTAAGTTTTTGCTAATGGTACGTTGTAGCACACCACTCCTGAGCCCCCAAATGCCACTAGGAACAGGAAACTTTTCCCTAAAAAACATAGCTTTGTATTTTTAAATATCATATGACAGAAGACTGGCCTTTCATTGAAAGAAATTGAACATATGGAGACATGGTTTCTGTATTTTCTTATGATACTGGCATGAATACAATCTGTTGCTTATATTTGTGCTTACAATTCTTAAAACTAATTCAACATAATTACTACATCTGTTAGTTGCCAAGGAGATAATAAAAAAAAAAAATAAAATCTGAACTATCTGAAAGTTGCCCAGGCAGTCAAGACTTAAAAAATAGAGAACTGGTTTCGCTGTTTCCTCCAGCTACAAAAAAAAATGTGAATACCTGAAAATTTTTCATAGTTGAACTGCAAATTCTAATTTATATCAAATCTGAAAACAGCTGTATAAAGACTGTCTTAGGTATCAGTAGTATGTTTTAAATTATTTGTCTTTTCTATCTCTGCAAAATAAGAAAAGCCATCCTGTAATTCAGCTGAGCTTTCCATTCTAAGCATGCATTTTCAAAACAAAACAATCATGTATTTCTACACCTAAGCTTCATTTTTCATTCAATTCTGTGAAAAGACACTTTTCTGAATTAGATAAAAAGAATTATCGGATATTTGTAGTAATCCTTTATCTTACATAAAAAGGGCCTTTATTTCTAAACATAAAGGGGAGGCATTACAGCCTGCAAATATGCTAATCAGGATCATCTATTTGCATGAAAAACAATCTGCCACTTTGGCAAAATTACTAACTCTGAGTTGATGCAGCACCATTTCTGGAAGCAATGCATAACCTGGACAGGCCCAGGCCCCTGCATGCATTTGTCTCATTACATACTCTGTGTTGGCCCGAAGATACATAATACCTGCTTCAAAAAAAGAAAAAGCTCAAAGAGTAATTTTATTAATGGAATCGGTAAAGTCTATAGTGGATGAGCACTTGGAGCCAACATAGCCCATAGCCCATAGCCCTTGGTCTTATGTGTGATGTCATGCCTAAAAATTATTTATATAACTCAGAAAAGGTGGGGGAAGTCAAAAAGATTAGACTAGCCAGACTCTTCTTCAGGATAAGGCAAGAACCTTGTCTTCCTGTCCTTACATAAAGAACACCATATAAAACCTGAAGTCGATGCAGCTGAGCAGGGATAAGATTCGTATACATACCACACTGACTGAATTTCTCCTTCAACTTCTGCCAGGTCAAGTCAAAAGGAAGCTAGAATAAAAAAGCATTATTAATAAAAAAGTATTACAAAAAGAAAAAGAGCATGCGATCAAACGTGCATACAAAATAAGCTCATGGTTTTTATGTATGCAAATACTTACATTTCTCACAAATATCTGGTTGCCTTTAGAGCCTAATCTCTCCCTCATGCCACCTCCCATTGGGCCAGGCACAAATCCTCGATCGATATCGATGTTCCTGTCCAGGCCTCCACCCATAGCTGGTCCCATTCGATCAAAACCAGAACTCATCCGATCCATCCCCATTCCTATTCCTCCAGCCATACTGTTCATACCACCCATTCCACCACCTACACAGGGAAAGAAAAGGAGGATAAAAAAAAAAATATATCTTTTTAGTAACAAATGTAGAAGTATTTTGTAGAAAAAAAATATTCTTTTGTGTCAGGAGAAAAATAACTTTAATAAAACTGCTGTAATACAAAACTTAACTTCCTATATGCACAGTGATTTATCTAGTAGCATGGCTAATATCTTAAGTCAAAGTATTATAACATACAAAGTGTCAGTTCTAAAAGAAAAGTAAAAAACAAACTGCATCAAGCTGTTAGTCATACCATCTAATCTAGTAAAATGTTGAACACAAGAACAGAATTAAGATTTAAAGGCCGTCCAGTAAATATCTGATACCCTGAGATCAAGTAAATAACGCTGACAATGTTAAGAAACATAATTTGACCATATATACTATTGTTTATTCTGCTTCCTGCATTCATATTCAGCTTTACTTAATGCAGCCGCACTTAACTGACACAATCTTCTAAAGAAAGCACATTTTGCAGAGAACAGATGTTACTGCAAGTACTGTGAATAGCGTGGACTTTCCTATGATACATGCAATGAAGTATATTAATGCATATTATATAAAGAACTAAGATCAATGGCATTCAAATATCCTATTATAATCTTTCTGGATTCATAATTAAAAATTAATGTAAAGCAAAACTATCAAGATCATTCATGAAGGACCTTCTATTTCAGCCTTATGCCTCTGAAGATTGCCACTAGCAAGATTTTAGTTTCTCATCTGCTCTAGCCTGAGGAACTCAGACAGTTGCTGCAATACAAACTCAGTATTTGAGCTTTACACAAAATTAAACTGAGTGATAACCTGAAATTCAAGGCTGATTATTTATTTCAATGAGGAGAGATTACTGAAGTTCAGCTTCAAGAATTCACACAAATAACTCTGCCCATTTGTCTTTTTTGTAGAACACAAGTGTACTTGAATCACTTCTCCATCCAAACCAGAAGTTAAAACCATTTCAAAACTAAGATTAAAGGAAAGACTGTAGTTGCAAGTTTTCCTCTGAACTTTTACCTCAACAAAACAGCTTTATAAACTGTTACACTTGCAGTCACATGCAACAGAATTCTACTTCTTCCAGCACTGGCAAAACACTACACTACACCAAAATCCTCTGATACAATTGCATGCACACACTGTGTCATGATATTGCCTATGCATTTACATTCTATTGAAACAAGTTAACCTACTCATTCCAGATCTTACTGGGCCCATGCTAGGCGCTCCCATTCCTCCTGCAAAAACACCAATCATTGCACCACCTAAACAGAAAAAAATAATAAAGTGACATACACTGAAACCACCAGTTAGCGACAACAGCAAAGCACACACTGATGAAGTGCACTGATCTCAACGTTACCTGGCAATTCTTTTCTACAGAACACTTTAACCTGTGCCTTTATTATACAAACCTAATAGGAAACATCTAGTAAGTAACGTTAGTTCCTCCTCCTCCATTATGGGATATAAGCTACTCTGATTTCTTTCTAGCTTTACTCCCCTCTGACAGTCTGCCAGCAGCACAAACATCTTAAAACTAAATGAGCCATTTCCCACATTGGGAGGAACAGCCTCAAAACTGAAGGGTTCATCTTATTTGAACTTCATAGTACAGAAATGCCCTACTTTCTCCCATTTTAAAGAAACTAATACAAAAAGCTAGGAGCAGCTCTCCCAGTGTCTTTCTTTACTGCATATGAAGAGTGAATTGATGTAATTTGGTGGAGAAAAGGGAGAAAGGAAGGGAATAAACACTTAATAAAAGCTATTTGGCAGAACCATGGAATATCCAGGACGGTATCAGAGACTGATTCTAGAGCGGCGTAAAAATAATTCTTTTCATCACAGTGCTAATATTCAGGAAAATAATCCGAAGGGAGATTCTAGATTTGCAGAAACTCAAAACAACTACATTCCTGTCACTGCAGAACAGACTGGAACTGTCAGCTGCATTTTGCTTGCTTGATTTTCATACCTAAAAGTAACAGCTCCATTTTTACTTATGGCAAAATAGATCAATAACTGTCGTCTTTAGGCTAGACACCATTGCTTTAATATCTGAAAAAAGGTCACTGCTGAGTCTTCCATTAGATTCATTTTCTCCATGCAGTTCATAACAGCAAAAATTGTTCCCTGCCAGTCTCTTGTGGGAAATATTTGTCTCTTCTCAGACAACATGCTATCATAGCCATATGAAGACTTCAAAATATATGGACTAGCTTGTTTAAAAAAACTACCAATTTTCAACACCAGCAGGATTACTCCCAGTACTTCAGCCAACAGTGTGCATATGAGGAAGACCTTACTACTTGTTCATTAGGCCAGAGAGAGTCTTGCAATGAAACACCAAGTCAAAATTTGAGATTGCTGTCACTGGTTTTTGCCCTTAAAAAGAATTGTGAAGAAAAAAAAAAAAAAAACAACCCACTTTTCCAGAGCTAGAAAACCTTGGTTGTTTGTGTGTGCATCCCAGTTACAACCACTCTCTTTTAAAAGGAAAAAAGTCTCCCCAACTGTCTAAGAGGTACTTAAAAAAACCCCAAAACAAACAAAAAAGCCAACCTGAAAGCTCAAATAATCTTAATAAGCAAGATTTCAGCTGTTTCTAACCTTAAAAGATGTCCTTTACCTGTACTTTTTCAGCCACTTGCTTTTCACCAACAAAAAATTGTATGCTTAGAGATGGTCTATGACACAACCTTTGATTTTTTGGGTACTTCAAAATTTTGGCAATTTAAATGGCAAATCCAACAATTACGCTGCAAATCAAACACCCTCGTTTTCTCTAATTGATGTCATAGCCCAATTAAAGACTGTTTTAAGTTGCCCTCCTTGAAACTGGCAGGGCACTAAAGCCAAATGCACCCACAGCATTTCCTTTTAAGATACCATTAACCCAAATATTTTAACAGGTGTACACTAGGGTTTTCCCTGACTAAACACTGTATCTATTAACTAAATAGATAAGTTAATCCCTACAATTTCCTTCTATTACTTAAGGATAAGTTGGGAAACTCTTATCTTGGTTGTCAGAATAGTATTTAAATAGTAAGGTTCCTGAGAGGTGGGAAGTTGAAGCTTGCTGGACCTACTGAATGAGTGACTCCTACATCAGTTTCTCACAGTGGCCATGTTTATGCATTTCAAAACCAATGTGTGTTACCAGAAGATTTGGAAGTCTATTGCTTGCATGAACGTTTATAACTGTAGTGACTTTGAATTTTCACTTGGGAAACAGATGTTTATCCTATCTTGCAAGTAGACAGGGTGAAAGCATACACTTAATCTCTAAGACATAAATACCGAGACATTAAGACTAACTCAACTGACAAGCTTATTACATTCTTATAACTTCTACACAATTACCAGTGCTCGAAGAGAAGCACACAAGGGTTACCCTTTGTTATGACTTGCCCAAATTAAAAAAAAAAAAAAGAAAAAAAAAATCAGCTTTAGACCAGATGAAAATTATGGTCTTAGCAGCTCTTCTCTTTCACAGTGGAGAATTTACGGGAGGGGGAAGTGGAGAAAAATGGGGAGCAGGGGAAAGAAAACCTGTCTCCTATAATGCAGTCATCCAGGTAACAGTGTAGTAACAAAGTGCAAGAAGGCTCTACTGTTAAAACACTTCCACGCCTCTTAAGATAGAAAAGCACCTCATTTGAGGGAACTTGAAAGTAACAAAGTGAACTCCGTCAACAAGAAATCATCTATTAACAAAACAAAGCTGGCTCAGTTACAGAAGAGGCCAGTAAAACCCATTCTGAGCAGCTTGAGCTCGGAAGGCAGGAAGAAAACAGAGGGCACCAAAATTCACTGTTCCCATCCAATGCTACCTGATTTGCAGTAAAAACAATTTTCCAGCACGCATTTGCAAAAGCAGGCACCTGGACCTTACAAAGATGGTACACTGGCCGCTCATTCAGAATTACCAAAAGCATATGCTTCAATATCTTCAGTACTTAATACCTCACAAAGTTAACAGTAGGAAGCTAAATGCTTTCCTCAAATCTAGTCTGTTTATATTTTATAGATGGAAAAAAAAAAACCAAAACACACTTTAACCTCCATCTTAAGCAATGACTATAATAAACACCCAGATTACATACTTATAGTAACGACTGGGGGAGAGGGGACAGAGGAAGATGACCAAATGAAAGCAGCTCTCTTCTTCTAGTAAAACTCTTGCAATTTGCCAGAGGAAATTTAACAGTTACCATACCCATCCTTCCAAAAGAATCTCCAAAGCCACGGTTCAATGCCATGTCACTACGACCAAAATCTCTGTCCATGTTTCCTCCCATTCCACCACGGAACATTTCTGTAGAGAAAAAAGGAAAATAATAATAATAAAAAAGGAATATTCTGTTATGTGTATCTAAGCTGGTGTCCATACAACACTTGTTTCACAGCTTCTTGTTTAAATAGAAGTGGGTTTAATGTACAAGTCAGAGGCACCTATTAAATATTTAACTCCCACAGCAGTTCCTGTGCTTCCACTCATGCCACCGACTATTTCCTTTGGACTCATCTACATTACCCATCCCTAAAGGAAGGGCTTTCAATAAATAAATATTAGCAAACTAGTAAGTGTACAGGATCAGTGTTCACCTACCTCCCATTCGGCTTACTCCAAATCCTCCCATATTTGGCATTCCTTCCATTCCACGAAATCCAGCAAGTCCTGCAAAATAAGGAAGAGTGTTTTCTATACAATATTAAAAAAATACTTAATGCAAAGAACTTCACTGCACGTACCGCCTCCCATTCTATTCATGCCGCCAAATCCTGGACCGTCTATTCCCATACCTTTAAACCAAAGAGACAAACACCATTCAGAAGACAGGTAAGATCTCTGCATTTTTAAAATGCAGAGACAGTTAACATCTCAAAAGCACACTACACAAGGCTTGCTTTGTCAAGAGTATGTCATTATTCCAAACACAGAAATGACAATTTTAAACTTAAAGCTCTGTAAAACTTTAAAATGAAGAATGCAGATTTACCTCCTGGACCCATGCTCCCCATTCCACCACCCATGCTCAATTGTGTTGCACTGATGGGCTGTCCACCTGGTCCAAGTCCCATACCAATGCCACCAAGACCACCTTGGAAACAAAAATAAGTAAAAAAGATTTTCTTCTGTATCATAAGGAGACCACATCAAGCAAAAGCACTACTAAACTGTTCCAAGACTCTATAACAACATATCCAAGGCTCTGTATCAACATATATTAAGTGCAAGGAGCAGAAAACAATGTGTGCACTCACGAGGTAATTGTGAAGTTTTGCTGTCTGCAACACGGAAATCTTCATGGGGAACTGATTTGTCATCCTGATAAAAAACAAGGATGTTACGCTATGATCCTGTCAACGTTTTGGCAGAAACATGTAAAGTAAAAAGAAATGTAAGCAGCTTACCATTTTTACATGCATGGGTCTATCGAACAGGAATTGTCCATTGAACATAGCTGAAGAAATGCAAGTCAAGGAATCTAACTACAGAACACAATTTAACTGTTTCGGAAGAATCACTGGAAAAACTTATTTCTGCACCGTTATTAGGAGTCTTATCTTTCCTTACCTAATATTCAGAATGCCAATTCAAAGGCCAGAGGAGACTATACAGGCTGTTAGGTATATAAAAGTTAGTGTCACACGTAACGTTCCCACATCTTTTTAAGCTTGTTCAACATTATCAGGAACACCTTTTTAGACTCTACCAGTAAACTCAGTCACTATTAAAAATGCAATCCGCACAGTTATTACGCTCCAGTCCCTATATACTAGCTACAAGGCAAATAAGCACCATTTGCACAACTATGCTACCAAAGCCCTTAAAGACTAATCTATATTTGATCAATTATTTTTCAAAACCAAGGATACATATTGCTTGAACAGCTTCAATTGCTTGTTCAAAGGTAACTGTTCCCATTCCTCGACTCTTGCCATCTTTATCTTCTTTGATGTCTGCACGCTTTACAGTTCCAGCAATGCTGAATACCTCCTTCAGTTTCTTCCAGCCAACTTTAAAGTCAAGCTTACGGAAAGAAATGTATTAGTGATTTCAGTGCACATTTCTGTTCTGCCATTACATTTGGAAGAGATTTCCTGCATTGTAACTCTTCAGCCTCCCAAAATGCTTAATATATGTAAATAGCCAGGATTTTATAATATATACACACTGCAACCAAGTCCAAAAATACCAACTAAAAGTCACAATTTATACTACATATACGTATTTTACTTTAATTAACATACTAACAGTGAGAAATGGATGGGTTCTTCTCAAGAGCAGCTGTATTCCCACAAGTCCCCTTGCACACATAGCAGTCTTTCATGCAACTAAAGATCTTGGGAAGTAAGCACCTCCAACAAATGTAACAGTTTAAGTTAGTCTAAAGTAACTAGCAAGATAAACTGAAGTGTGTAGTTAATTAAAAAGAAGAAACGCAGTTGTAAACAGATAGCAAAAAAGATGTATAAAATATTTTTAAATCAACAGATGACTGTGCAATAATTAAAAGTGCACATCAGCCTTAAGAGCTTAACGTATCTTTCATGTTCAAAATCTGAATACAGATCCAGCATTTTTAGTTGAACATACTAATTGTGAACTAACATTTCTAATTTCCTCTTTATATTAAAACTGAATTATGCAGGAATGTAAGATGTTTTACAAAGATCAAATATTACAGTTATAAAATACAGTTATAAACTTACATTAGCAACAAAAATAGTGGACCCGAGCCTGCCTGCCTGCAAGTTACTGATAACCTCAGGAGGAATGTTTGGATTATTGAGAATAGAAGGTGGTAAATTCATTATTCCAGGTGCTACATCAGGTCCATGTCCTCCTGGAAACTGTCCTCCTACACGATGTAATGCCCTACGAGCATGTTCACCTTCGGGATCCTGAAACATGGGCAAAAATAAAGCCAACTTAATCATCAACAAGAGGACTGGCAACTAACAAAAAGGTACTATTTGAAATTCTACATAAACTCATCAAATTTATCAACTAATATCCTTGTCCATGTCAGAGGGATCAAGAACTGAATTAGCATGGAGACCTAATTCCCTCACCTCTAGAGGTGGGTCCTTTCAGATGAGGGTTGAGGCATATTGGCAAAGCACTTGTTGAGGAAGCGTGCACTGCCACTTCACATGCTGTACCTAGCCTATGGACAAGTAGAAAAGATTTCAATCTAGAGGACTGTCAGTCTAGCACGTTCGTCCAAGAACTGAATTAATTTAATTAGGTTTTTTTATTATTTATTAATACCATTATTAAAGCTGTAACAGGACAAAAAGAATTGCATCAGACACCGTCATATACTACAACACTACAACAGAAATGTTGACATTATTTCACTTTCCAGTCAGCACAAGTTCTCTACTTTCAGCTCCATTTTTGGACATATGTAGTAGTCTGATACTCAGCTTGTTCTGCATCATATTTTGAAGGAGGGAAGCAATGTAAACATAGAATCATTTAGGTTGGAAGAGACCTGATGATGCTAAGGTAAGAATATGAAGGTAAAGACAAAGTTGTTTTAAAGAAAAACAGCATTACATTATTGCGACTTTAGGACGCACTTTTTGTCAGTTCACTTGGCATAGTATCAAGACCTTCTGCAAGCCAACAGGCACTTTAGCCCATTAAGAAAGTGTCATAAAAAATAAACAGGAAATTACACAGCTAAAGTGTTCAAAATGCTGCATTGTCATCTCAGTAGTTATAGTATCTTCACTATTTCAAATTAAAAACAGCAGCAATAACCATACCTCTTTAATATTCAGGGGTCTTCCACTAAGATCATATTTGTTCATAGTTTCTAACGCTTTCTTAACAAATTCTTCATCTTTGAATTCAACCACACTTAAGAGGGAACAAAACAAATAAAGTTTAAAATGCTAAATTTAACAGAATGTTTGGATAGTAGTGTGTTTCTACACACATAGAAAAAGAAACTTACCCACAACCCTACATCCATGATGAATTGTGTTCATATGTAAAGGAAAAAAAAAAAAAAAGTCAATCAGCACATATGATAGAGCAGTTAAGATTCCAGTTAAAGATCCCAGCTCACTGTTAAATAACTACTCAAGTTATTTTCAGTTTCAAAATCCATAATACATGCTTTTTACTGGTAGCCAAGCTGAATTTCTCCTACTTTCTTAATATACATACCTTTCAAATGCAAGAGAATACATTATCTTTTATTCTCTTTGAGCCAAACCAGAATTGGAAAAATGCCACACAGATCCATGTAAGGACAATTGGGGAGAGGAGGTGGGGGGAGAAGGGTAGAAAGAAAAAACCCAAAAACATAACCAAAAACCAATCAAGACACTCATTGTGTCATTAAAAGCTGCCCGCTAACTACAAAATTCAAATCTACCTACATCAAGTATACCAATACAATGAACAAAGAGTCTGCATACCTCTCCAGTACTACTAGCATAATTGAGAAATTACTTTGTAAGAAAATAACCTTATTGACTGCACAAGAATCCTTCTAATAAAGCAAAGAGTTGAGGATTGCTTTAAGTAAAGCAAAGCTGACAGCATGTTTTGGTTTTAACAAGCGTTAAAGAAAGTAATTTACAACAATTGATACAACCTCAGTTAAGACTCAAACCTGCATTTCTCATGTTCTCACTGCAGGTTCAGAGCTACTATTGGCCAAACTTTTGACTATTTTTAAGACGACAAAGGAGCTTTAACAATCTTCACTCTTAGTGCCTCATTGCTGGCACTCCATTGGCTACCAACCATCTCCATCCATTTAGTTTTAAGAAAGCAAATACATTAATCCAATGTTTAGAGTACCAACCCTGCAAAGCTGTGAAATCAGGCACTTCAAACAGTATATTCTTAGCTAACATTTTGTACTCATTGGCCCCAAGAAAAGAATACTACACTAACAAAATTTAAATAAAATCAGTGGTTTATTGAACGTCCTTTATATGAAACAGATTTGTACCAAAACAAAGATGTTGGCTAAAAAGAAGAATTAAGTAAATGCCATCTGTTAACATTTAGAGAAGTATTTTGTCCTTTACAGCCAGCTAGTTTAAGTTGCGTGAAAGTGTCAGACTACTTCTAATACAAAATCCTCAAGGCTACCTTAATGAAAATCAGTGTAAAAATGAAACTTACTTTCCAGTAACTGGTACAAGTATTATACAAAAATAAAACTGCTGAGGAACTTTTAAACCTCTAGCAGATTGTTGCCCACGGCACTTACCCTTGATTTTCCTTCAGCATCCTTAAACAGCTCCACGTATGTAACCTCACCAACTACATAAGACATACAAAGGGAAAATACCAAGAGACAATGCATTTAAACACCAGTATCTTTCTTTACTGTGCCCCTGTGCACAACTCTACAGAGAAGCACCTATTATTCACCAACAATCAAAACCAGACCAACATACCTCCTGTCAATGGCTATATAATTTAGCTAATTTTCAGAAATATGCAGCAGCCACATTCTCAAAAGCTAAAAACAAACAACTATATTTAACCTAATTCATACTACAGATCATATTTTGGCCAGTATGATATAGTTGGTGAACAAATTCAGATATACACAGTCCCTTACCCTAACAAATGAAACATCAACGTTCACTGGAAAGTGTTACATTTATCATCCTACTCACAACACCTGTTTTAAGGTGACTTTCTACCTGAATGTCTTCAATCATAAGTTTGCCTTCAATAATAACCAAATTTACACATCAAATATTTCACAGCAAGCCACTCACTTTCTAAAGTAGGAAGTTTCAGTAAATAAACCAATCAAATAGTCACGTCACCTTACAACAGATAAACCAGCAGTTACAGAAGGGGGGGGTTGGCATTTTTCACAGCCTACAACATAAAAGCCAAGTGTGCTTTGCATTACTTTTGAAGAATCATTTTTTTCAAGGAAGACACAGAACTAACTTTTTACAGAATTCAAGCATTAGCATGATTTTACCCCAAACTTAAAATAAAACGTCTAGGGTAGCAAGATTACTCTATCAGAACTGCAACAAAAGTAACAAGCTTTTAATACAAACCTCCACACAAACAGTCATGGCAGTAGTGACAATGCAGACAAAGTTAATTCCACAGCCAAATTCCACCAAAGAAATACAAAACAACTTTTGAAAGACATCCTTTATTATTCAGGTTAACACACTAAATGTGTTGCTTAAATACAATAACCCTTAAAAAAAAAATAATCTACAAAGACTACAACTAGACGAAACACAATCTCTTTAAGAAGTCACGAGGTCATGCATATACTCTCTACTGTCACACCAGAATGGCAGAAGATTGTAAACACTTCATTTACCCATCCTACCCTGCAATGCAATTGTCTCAGATGAAAGAGGGGGAAGGGAGATAGATGTACCAAGTAAAGGCCCAAAAAAAAAAAAGAAAAAGTAGTGAAATCAAATCTGTGTGGCTCAAAGGACAAATACAATGCATTTAAATTCTATCCCTTTCTATGTAAAGTGTATTATAAGGAATAAGTTACCTTTCTCTCTCATAAGATCTTTAATAGCTTGCCATTTCATGTCATACGGGATGTTGCTAATAAAAACTCTATTACGATTAATAGTCTTCTTTTCTCCAGTGCCTGCATTCTTCTCCTTTGAATAGGGGTGGAATCTATTCTTGTTTCCGAGAGAAGGGATTGCCTTCGGCTTTGCAACGTACTTCTCTTTTGCAGGTGCTTTCTCTTCTTTTGCTGTCTCATCATTATCCCTACATTAAAAAAAACAAACAAACAAAGAAACACCCAAACAAAAAAATATTAGTCTTGTGTTGGATCATTAGACTATTATACCTCCTATGTACATAGCTGCATACCTCCTATGCTATTAGAATTCCCAGGATGTTAAATGCTGTTTTTCAAATTAGGAAAAATAAATTCATGTTACCAGTCTAGTTGGAAAATACATTGCTTTATCTAAAACAAAAAATAATGTTGTAACAGATTTATTCACTCCTGTAGCAAAGAAAGCACACCTTGCTACTTCAGTTACATTTGATTTCCATTATGCCTGTCAAAATTCAGCAAGATGGTACTATGAAAATACTACAAATATCAAAACACAGCAACTCAGCTGTAAAATAAGCTAGAGCATCCATGCTTTGGTGCTTCAATAATTTTCACATCAGACTTGGCTAAGTTACGTGATATTCACCATAGAAGTGAGAGTTGAAACGGTCCAATTTATGGAACAGCTTGCTATACTTCATTCAATGTAATAACAATACATAAAAAGCAACTCTATTAGGTTGTAAATCAAATTTCATTTTATTCACCACATAAATATTTTTTATTCACAATTTGTGCCAGACTGCTTTTTAAAATTCAATTAAGAATAACAAATGCTCTTTCACTTTCATTGGTTAACACTATGAGAATTTGAAAACTTGCTACATGCATAGGAAATAGATGTATCGAGACACCCTCTGCATCTAAGACTAATTAAGTCACCAGGCATTATCCACTAGCAACAACAAAATAGACTTCTGGCCCTCAGTCTGCTGCAATAGCAGCTGCTCTCTTATTAAAATGCTCTTGTTTTTAGCTTAAAATGAGGGAAAATGTGCTTCCTCTCTTTTAAAGCAGCCCAAATCTCAAGTTTGATAAAACTATACACTTTGTACAGTATTAGGTGAAATATCTAAATCTTTTTGGCACTCTTGATAGCGTTACTATCACGAGGTGATTTAGAATGCTAACAGAGGATCAAGGTGCCCGAATTGTTGCTTTAAAAAAGGTGATCCACTGAACTGAAAAGAAATCCAGTGATAAAGCCACATAAATGGGATTCACTAAACAGATGCTACTTAGAGATAGACATCAATGTCTAGCTCAAATCTTAATGAGTTAATGAGAAACTTAAAAAGTACTTTTACACAAACTTCTATTTTAAAAAGCCAGCATTAGCCACTTGCGTTAGAACAATTACAATGAAATGTCCTACAGGACTGTCAAAAGTGATCGACTGTGAACCCTCCTTAAATTACATCACTATCTTTACAATTTTTCCCATATTTCAGAAGGCTTAGTTTTTATCTTGTTTTGACTCTTTGGAAGGTCTCTGGCATAAAATTAGCCTAAACAGGCATTTCAGTTTTACAACCACAATGTATGGAAAGATCACTGATTGTCATTAATTGAAATGAGTATTCTCAGCTCTCTGCATAGTTATTAATGAAACAGCGAGTAAGTGGCAGTCTTGCACTCAAGAGCATAAGCAAGTAGGCTTTCACGTAGCTAAAACTAAGTTTGGGCACTTTTCAGGGAGGAATAAATTCAAATACATCCATATTTTTCCCATGACTTTTTCCCAAATTTTGAAGTACTCATATGATATAAACTTCACAGGCCTTGTGTTTACAAGTGGATTAGAAGAGGATTAGCAACTGAAAAATGCGTAGACACTCCTCTGGGCTAAGTATTTGTCAAATTTAAAACATTCAAAGTCAACACCATGTTATCTGGTTCAAGCATCCTCCAGCTTCCCTCTGCATCATCCCTCCTCCACGCCATCCTGTCTGTTGTGGCAATATAATTCTTGTGTGGCTGTCTAATGAAGTGAAATGGGGGAAACAATGCAGGGAACTGGAGGGAGCTGGAGGGAGAGGGGAGGGAAAGAGCAGAGTATCAGATTTTCCAGTCAGATCAGTTCCTTCCAATCCAGTCCCATTTGTAAATGCAAAACTCTCCCCCTCAATGAGGCCCCTATTAAAATCTCAGTTCTTCCTTAAGTTTTAGGATTAGAGCAATGGATTCTCTTTAGCCTTTTAAGCTCTTTTCTGCTTAAAGGATTATGAAACAGCCCCTGGGTGCTCAGGAAGAGCCAGGTCTCCAAATATGGAATCCACGGGCTCTACAAGACCTGGCTGTACAAACCAGTGGAGAGCACAGAGGATATCAGTCTGGCATAAACTCTTAAATCTGGGAAACAAGACAACTCTTCACTTAGAAGTCTGGGGATCACAGTCTCCTGAAAATAGAGGATTAATTAAAAAGCAATCCTTCTTGCAAAACTCATCTGCTAAAACCAAAGGGCCAGTGAACAAGCTGGACACAGAGATCCTTCTGTGGATATAACTCTTACCCTCCTCCTTGAATATTAAAAATAATTTATATCAAATAATATACTCAAAGCAATGAATGTTAGTCACCTATAGACCACCAAAAAGTCTCAGAAACTATGAATCGACATTTTCTTGGGGGAAAAACAACAGTAATTTCTACTCTTTACCTTCTGTATGAACTAATCATTTTATGCATTTAATGATTATTTGCCTGTGAAATCACTAGCAGACTTCTAGGGTTAAAAAGAGATGTCTACATTAATTTCTTTTTACAAAGCACATCCTCATTGATTAAAAAGAGCAATTTTTACTCTTTGAAAAATAACGCCTTTCAACTTCCATAAAGTTTTGGAAACAAAAGATAAGGTTTCCATATATAAATACAAAACTAGAAGACTAAAAAATATTAAGCACAAGGTAAATCAACACTAAAGCCTTAAGAGCTGCTTGGGGTATTTTTAAGAAACTTCTACTTCTCTGCTAACAAGTGTCCATACAAATAATAAGATCCACAAGGACAGAAATGCCAGAAGTCCACAACATGTGATTCAAAAGCACGTAGATCAGTTTAGCTTTGTTGCAATGAACAGTTCCACTGCTCAACACAATAAACTTAGGGAAGCGTGCAAGCTGAGACCAGGATGTCTCTCCAATTTAATCTGAATGCTAAGCAAACCTGGTTATTGAAATACTTTTTTTAAGTGGCACGTTTCACCTACACACTGACAGCTTAATCCTTTGTACAAGTGTTTTGGGGAAGACTAGAAACTGTATGTGAAAGAGTAAGATCTGAAACTCTGTTACCAAGACCTTTGCAGTATTTTCAAACATAAAGCTGTGATTTCTACCACACAGAATGACCGTGATTTTTCATTTGTTTGTGATTAGTCTTAGAGAGAAAAGAAAACTGCTGACAGAAGGAGGGATACAGAGACATTAAATCATTACTTTAACAGCAGCAACTCCAAAAGGCAATAAAATGTTATATGCCCCAATGGTGCAAAAGGGTCACAAACTGCCTGTGAAAATTCAATCATAATTTGTGCAGTTTAGAAGCTGAGGCCAGGCTCAGGAAAAAAACAAACTGTCGTTTTATGGCAATGCTAAATTTATAACTTGTAAACTATTAGAATTTCATAGGGAATCAAGTAAAGGCATGAAATATGCCTTTATTCTTTCAGCTTTATATTGAACATAATCCCATGTGCATTTTTTAAACACAGCAGTATCAGACTGGGCTGCTTAGAACATGTCAAAACTTCACCGATCTCAACAGCTTTGATGTACTGCAACCATAGGCCTGCTATAAACGTGTTTTCCCTCCAAGATGTGAATGAGATTAGAAGGGATATTGAAATTCCAATGGTATGAGGCCAACATCTAGCTCATGTAAAGAATGACGACCCTCGAAGCCTGACTTCAAGAACAACCAAACCCATAAAAGGTTATTCACGGTATTGTTCTATAGAGCTGGTACTTCTGGCTCCTTTTAAACCTGCTATATACGGCACAGTTTCCGTATTCCGTATATGATACTGTTACTATTTAGAAGAAAAGTTTGTGCATGCATGTGGGGTTTTTTGCTTGTTTTTAAGAAGCACATGCCTATAGGGCTGTCTTACCATTCTCAGCTGAACAAAGATCGGTTCAAAGGCTTCACAAAACACACCACTACGATAAGAAGTGGAAACGTAAATAAAACCTGAAGGGATGCAAAACACTCCTAGAGAGGGATCCTGTGAGGACTGGCCTGACCGGAGCCCGGCGGCTCGCACCGGGGCGGCGGTGCCGGTGGGGTTTCACACCACCCGCACC